TCTACATAAGTAGAAAAAGCTGGAAGTGGCACTGTGGCTCAACTGGTAGTGTTATCCTGGAGCACAAAAGAAGCTCAGGACAGTGCCCAGGCTGAGTTCAAGCCCCCGGACTGGCAAAAAAAGCTGTAGCTGGGATTATAGGAGCCACTGTTACTCTTTCTATACTGACTGCCCACACTGCCCTTCTACCACTAGAGCTGTACCTCCAGTTCTGGGGTATATGTGCCTGGGCCGGCTCTGAACTATGTGATTCTTTTTTTTTTTGGTCAGTCCTGGGGCTTGAACTCTGGGCCTGGGTGAGCACTCTACCGCTTGAGCCACAGTGCCACTTCTGGTTTTCTAGTGGTTTATTGGAGATAAGAGTCTCACAGACTTTCCTGCCTGGGGTTGGCTTTGATCCAAGATCCTCAGATGTCAGCCTTCTGAGTAGCTAGGATAACAGGCGTGAGCTGCCGGCACCCGGCTTGAACTATATGATTCTTAGATCACAGTCTCTTGAGTAGCTAGGATTATAGGTGTGTGTCACCTATGGTTGCTTGTACTAGATTTGAGCTAAACTTGGGGAGCTTCCTAGACAGGTGTACTACCTTGCTTTTTAGTTTTTAGATAGGTTGTCCCATTTTTGCCAGAGGTTGGCCCCTGGCCAGGATCCTTCCTAGTCCTAGTTATTCTTCCTGTGTAGCTGAGATTACAGGCATGCCAAATACAGAACTAAAATACTATTTAAAAAAAAAATTCTTTCTGGTTGTGGAGTTTGCACTCAGGACTTGGTTGCTGTCCCTGTGCTCTATTGTTCAAGGCTTTCTACCACTTGGGCCACAGCACCACTTCTGGTTTTCTGGTGGTTAATTGGAGATAAGAGTCATATAGACTTTCCTGTCTGGGCTGGCTTTGAGCCATGATCCTTAGATCTCAGCCTCCTGAGCAGCTAGGATTGTAGATGAGGGCCACCAGCACCCAGATTCTGTCTTATTACTATTTTAAAGTGTGTGCACTTACATGTATGTGTTGTGCACATGCACGTAAGGTTAACAGTAGGGCTTGAACTCAGGGCCTGGTCACTGACCCTGAGAGCCACAGTACCATTTCTGGCTTTTTGGGGGTTAATTGGAGAAATGAGTCATGGATGTTTCTGCTTGGGCTGACACTGAACTGTGATCCTTAGATTTCAGCTTCCTTGGTAGCTAGGATTCCAGGTACAAGTTACTGGCATCGGTTATGCTTTGTTTTAGCAACTAGGATGTTTAAATGATCTTGATGTTCTAAAATATAGTGATTTTATAAATGAAATAGTGAATCGGATAGTAGAGTATCATGTCTCCCTCCATAGAAAGGCTGATCAAAAATTGCCTTTTGAGTATAAAGAAAGAATGATTGACTGTGGAGATAGTTGAATACTTTATAGAGAACATTGTGGGAGGTGGATGATGTGGAATAAATGCTTAAGTATTAGGCATTTTGTCTCAATCATTAATCATTTGTGAATGGTTGATAGCACCTAAATGGCTTTGCCAGGATCTTTTTTTTTTTTGTTGGTCATGGGGCTTGAACACTGGGCCTAGGCGCTGTCCCTCAGCTCTTCAGCTCAAGGCTAGCACTCTACCATTTGAGCTACAGTTCCACTTCTGGTTTTCTGGTGGTTTATCGGAGATAAGAGTTTCAGGACTTTTGTTCCCCGGGATGGCTGAACTATGATCCTCAGATCTCAGCCTCCTGAGTAGCTAGGATTACAGGCGTGAGCCACCGGTGCCTGGCTTGCTTGATAGTTTTATAGATGAGAAAACTATTAAGAATATAGTATGATAAATGATAAGATACATAGGGCTTTGTGAAGGGATGGTGGCATGCACTTTATTACTATGATTTCCCCTTTTTTTGTGTGTGTATGCTAGAAATTGAACCCAGTGTCTTGTTCATGCTAGGCAACTGCTACTGAACTATATTCCCTGCCCTGGAATATGAATGTCATTTTGTCCTGGAGTGCGTGTGCACGCCCTTCTCCCCCTCCCAGGTTTTGGGGCTTGAGCTCTTTTCTCAACACTATAAGAGGCAGATGAAGAGTGTAAGAGTGGCTAATGGTGTAGGTGAGTGAGGCAGAGGTCATCTAGAAGGAAAGGGGAGAAAAGAAGGTGAGGAGACCTAGGAGTGATTTGACAGCAAATAAGTGGAGGAAGAGAAAGAAGGGGTAATGGGGACGATAACCTTGAAAGGAATAGGAAATGCTACCAGGGCAGAATGGGTATGGACAGAAGTAGGAGAGGAGATAATAAGAAATAGATGTGAAAAGAACATTCTTCAAAGCCTACCACAGAAACTGAACAAATCCCTGTGATTCTAGCAGACTACTGGGGATGGGAACTTCTTGCAACTGCCGTGGAGGTAATTTAGTGGTAGAAGAAGGACATTGGATTTAAAATTCGATTAAGAGCTGGGTGGGTCCAGATGGCTCACGCCTGTAATCCTAGCTATTCAGGAAACTGAGATCTGAGGATCATGGTTCAAAGCCAGCCCAGGTAAGGAAAGTCCATAAGACTCATGTCTCCAGTCAACCACCAGAAAACTGGAAGTGGCATTGTGGCTCAAAGTGGTGGACTACTAGCCTTGAGCAAAAAGAGTTCAGGGACAGTGCACAGGGCCCAAGTTCAAGACTCATGATCGACTCTCCCCCCTCCCCCCTCCCCCCCAAAAAAAGTCAGAATAAGATCTTGACAATAAGCCAGGCACTGGTGGCTTATACCTGCAATCCTAGCTACTCAAGAGGCTCAAGAGCTACTCATGAGGATTGCCATTCAAAGCCAGCCCGGGAAACGAGAAAGTACATGAGACTCTTATCTCCAATTAACCACCAGAAAACCAGAAGTGGTGCTGTGGCTCAAGTGGTAGAGTGCTAGCCTTGAGCTGCAGATCTGAGGGACAGCGCCCAGGCCCAGAGTTCAAGCCCTATGACCGACCAAAAACATAAAAATAAAAAAGATCCTGGCAATGACATTTAGGTGCTCTGAGCTGTGGTTTCCTGTCAATTGACAATGATTGAAGAAGGCATTTCTTAAGGTTCAGTCTGCTAAATGGGAGCAATCATGGTGAGATTATAGTGGTAATTATATAAATATGCACAGTGCATGTTTGCTGCCTTTAGTTCTACTTAGTTTCCATAGGGAAATATAAATAGAATTTGTTATATTCTTGATTAAAAACTATGCTTGTGGAGTTTTGGGATTCCAAGAAATGTCTAGATTAAATTCAGTAGAAGAAAGCAGATACAGATTTGTGAGTTTTGTAAATGTTCGTGCTTTCCTGAGGACTAAACTTGTTTCATATGACACTGCAGAGTTTGCACCTAATACCTGTTCCTTCTGTCCGCCTCCTTTTGTTCTGGTCTTGGGGTTTGAACACAGTCCTGGGTACTGTCTTTGAGCTTTTTTCCCCCAGTGCTCTACTATTTGAACTACAGTTTCACTTTCAAATTTTTGGTAGTTCATTGGAGATGAGTCTCATGGTCTTTTCCTGCCTGGGCTGACTTCGAACTGCAGATCCTGAGATCTCATCTTCCTGAGTAGCTGATTACACATGTCAACCATCAGCCCTGGCTCTTTGTTTTTATATTATACACATATTATAAACCTATTCATTGCATTTTCTTCAGTAATCATAACTCCTACTTCAAGGCCTTTTGAAACTGTTGTGCTACAATAATAAGCCTTGTCTCTGTTCTTTTTGTACTCAGATAACTGAATTTTAGCCTAATTTAAGAAAAAATTAGGCCAGGCGCTGGTGGCTTATACCTGTAACCCTAGCTACTCAGGAGGCTGAGATCTGAGGATCACAGTTCAAAGCCAGCCTGAGCAGGAAAGTCCGTGAGATCTTTTCTCCAGTTAACCGCCAGAAAACTGGAAGTGTCACTGTAGCACAAATGGTAGTGTGCTGCTTTGAGCTGAAGAGCTGAGGGACAGCACCCAGGCCAGAGTTCAAGCCCTGCAACTAACAAAAAGAAAAAAAAAAGAAAAAAAATACTTTGAGATAGTCTTTTTTAACAAACTAAATGGCATAGACTAACGTAGAATTTGCTGTCCTCATGCCTTAATCTCCTGCTGGAATTGCAGGCATAAACTGCAATGCCTGGCTTGAATTACTTTTTTTCTTTTTGTGCTGGTTGGCCTCACTCACATTCTTGCCTAGCTTTTTTGCTCACAGCTAATGCTTTTTTTTTTTTTTTTTTTAACCACTTGAGCCTCATGTCCACTTCTGGCTTTTTCCTGCTTAATTGGAATAAGAGTCTTGGATTAGTCTTCCTAGGCTGGCTTCAAACCAGGATTCTCAGATATCAGCCTCCTGAGATTTTGGTGTGAGCCACCAAATTTTAGTTGTTTTGAATAATGTATTTCACATTTTAACAATCCTGATGCTAGTGTGGGTCTTTTACTAATGACTTGGGAGATGAGTAAATGCAAGTTTAATGAAATACTTATGATGTAAATAAGAATATATCAAATGATTGGAAAGGTTTGGAAGGTTTCTTGTGACAAGTTTTGCTTTTCCCTGGTTTTGGGACTCCCAACACATTTTCTCCTCTGGAAGAATACTGACTGGGATACATGTTATGAAGTGTATTGGGTCAGATAAGTTCTCATTTGTACTTAACTTCACAATTGGAATATAGCAATGTTAATTTTCATTCATTAGCTTGATAAAGTTTATATAATCATCTCCAAACATCATTGCTTTTAGCCTGTTGATACTTACTTGCTAAAATGTATGAAAAATGGATAGCATAATTTTTATATAGTTGTTTTCTTCATTTTTTAAAATAAAAGGAAATGGGAGGGGATAAAGCAGGGATTACTGCTGAACCCTGATGATTAGAGGTAAGTGGATGTTTAATCTCAGTTACTTGGTTTTTGTTATTGTCTTTGTGAATATTTGAGAGTAAATAGAAACTTTTTAGTTGTGTATAATGTGTATATAATCTGAGATACTGACTCGAGGTTTTTCCTTCCTTTATTCTGAATACTAGGTACGTTCTATGGATGAACTAAATCATGATTTTCAAGCACTTGCTCTGGAGGGAAGAGCTATGGGAGAGGTAAGCTAGCTGATGTGTCAGAAAAGTGGGTCTGTTTTCAGGGAAGTTTGGTTGGAGTTGTCTTTCATCAGATGTGTCCGAAACCTAGTCTCCAGAAGTATGTGTTTGCTTTCCTTTGTTGCCTTTCTCACAATTCCCATTCGGGAATGTTGCTGTAACTGCTGTCACTATAGGAAGAATACTAACTTCAGCCTAATGGCTTAAAAATGAAACAAACCAATGAAAATATGAGCACAAATGACTGAATATTATGTGTTAGTAAGTCAACTATAATTAAGGCATTAAAATTTAAAAATTAAAAGTTTGTATGCATCAAATATTTCTATTTCAATGGCTAGGTTCTTTAGCAGTTGGAAAAGGGAGTCTTTTTTTTTTTTTTGGTCTGGTTGTGGGGCCTGAACTCTGGGCCTGGGCACTGTCCCTCAGCTCTTCAGCTCAAGGCTAGTGCTCTACCACTTGAGCCACAGCGCCACT